GTCATCCTCGTACAGAGCCCCGAGCTCGCGCTTCTTTGGAGGTTGGTCAAGGGGCTGTTTCTCCTTGGACGTGGTGGCTTGATCGGAACGCCTCCATGTCAGGTTCCTCCCTTTCTGGGCATTTCCCAGTTTTCCTACAAATTGGCCCAAATATCCTTGTTTGTTAAGTGCCTCAATTTGTCTGCGGAGAACGATGCATTCGTCCGTATCATGCCCAAAATTTCGGTGAAACCTGCAGTACTGGTCGGTATTGCGTTTGGCAGTGACCACGTCACATTCCTCTGGGAAGGAAACCAAACCCTGCTCCTCGGCATAGTCGAGGACCGTCCCGACCGGTTGAGCCAAAGGTGTCAGAAGTTTGGTAGGTAGGAGCGGACCGTTCGGGACGTCCGTCCTTCCCTTGTTCTTATTCTTCTTACCTTTGAACCGGCCGCCCTTTCCACCAGATTTCCTATCGGCATCTTCATCATCTGGGTCACCACGTCTTCCCTTGTCCTTCGTGTCTTCTTTCTTTCCATCCTCTTCATCTCTTTTTCTCTGTTCAGCGTCCTCTGCCTCAGCCTGACGGTCAGCCCGCCTCAGGGCTTCCTCGTATAAAGCGGGTGGATTCCTAACAAAATCCTTGTAAAGTTCTCCTGATCGGATAGAATTTGTCAGCATTGCCACTCCGGTCCTGTCGTCAAGGCCCTGAACCTTGACCGACTCGACCCTCCATCTTGCCAGGAAAGTGGACAGGGCCTCTTTCTTTCCTTGCTTCAGGCTAAACAGGTGGCTGAAATTCTTCTTCACATCTCGTGAGCCGGCGAACCTCAAGAGGAAGTGCCTAGCCAACTCCTTGAAGTTCATGATGCTCCCATCGGGCAGTGTGTCATACCATTCACGAGCCGGGCCATCTAGAGTAGCCGCGAATCCTCTGCATCGTATGGCATCTTCGTACCCCATCATGACCATATATGACAGGTAACGTGATATGTGGTGTTGCGGGTCCGAAGTGCCCTTGTAAGTATCCACATTGCAAGGTTTGTAGCCCCTTGGCAACGGAGCCTCCATTATGGCACGAGTGAACGGCTCCGGGATATGGAGGTCGGCCACGTATGACTCTCCCCCAACAACCCTCCTCCTTAGCTCGTCCAACCTCAGTCTGAGATCCTCCACAGCTTCCGGCGCCGGTTCCTCTGGCACGCGTCCAGCACGGGGCTGGACCCGCACATAGGATTCTGCGACTCTTTCACGCGCGTGAGGCCGACGGCCACCACGGGGGCCTTCTATGGAACCGGTTCGACCGCTCAGACGACAGGGGTGATGAGAGAAGTCATCCCCGCCCTCCAGTGACGAGTCTCGGTGGGGCCCTCCTCTTTCAGGTCGTCGAGGCTGCTCGACCCGTCGGGACATATGCTCCCTCCGGGGCAAGGATTCCCTTCGTGATTCGTCCAAACTAGTATGTCGCCCTTCATATCTCCCAGAGGAAGTCTCGATGTCTTCAGGGGCGGCGTGCCTCGGAGTTTCATGATTAGCTCTCTGCGGCATCATCCCCAGGAAATTCTGAGCCAAAGCCCCAATGGCACGCGTGGCCTCCTGCAGCGCCCGCACTCCAGCGTCAAGTCGGTTCGTGCGTGGAGCCCGACGACGGCGACCTCCAATCCGATCACGAATGGATTGTCTGTCATGACTACGGCTTAGCGAACCCCTCAGGTCCCCTGAGCCCGACAAATGGCTCCGGAGATCTCCTATCGGTCTCACCACCTGGCTTCTCACACGATGGCCATTGGGTTGTTCTGAATGCTCGGTGTGAACGGAAACTCGCTCTTGCCTTGATGATCCTGCCATTTTCCTCCTCAAAGATTCTACCGAAAACTGAGAGAACAACTCAGCTCTCAATGAAAGCACCAATGTTGGTAGAAAATATGTCGAGTAGAAAATTCGGCAGCAATTCAGTACATCAAAAGTCACTTGTCCAATACAAAAGGAGGGGCGGCCTATTTATAGGCGCTTACAAGAGGTTTCTTGAATACTAATGGGCTTGGCCCAATTAAACAACTAAAACAAGAAGCTTGATCCAAGGCCAATGGGCTGGTCGAGCCCAGAGTTAAACCAATCAATCCAAGGACCATATTATCTAGCCGGACCGTGTGCTGGGCCTGGTTCGCGCCCGAGCCCAGGCATATTGGGTCGATAGTATTGGACCTGGCCCATTATCCCAACATAAGCCATCGAACTTACATAAAACGTGCAAATAAGCCCTTTTATAGGAGGCTCTGTCCGGCCATTGCCATTTGGGCTGGTTCTTGGTGGAATTTTTTGATGAAGTTTTTTTAGCATCTTATTCATTAAGTCTACTTTACTCATACCAAAGTTCAGCTAAAACTTCAATCAGGAAGACAGTCAAATGAATTTTTGAAAATAACAACGCAGTTAAATAGCGTAGTATATTTTGATAAAATCATTTAACTTCCTTTTCGGATGATTTTTTAGCTGAAATTTGGTATGGGTAAAGTAGACATGATAAATAATATGCTCATAAAATTGCATCAAAAAATTCCACCGGAAACCGCCCCAAATGGCGACGTCCGGACAGAACCTCCTATAAAAGGGTTTATTTGCACGTTTTATGTAAGTTCGAGGGCTTATTTGATAGTTCTACCAAAATTATATTATTATATCTTTACATAACAGTAGTCTCGTAAGACCCATTTTAAAATTTATTGAAATACAAATTATTTTATTATAATGAAGTTATATGTATATCTTTACATCTACTCCATAAGACGGAATTAATGTATGCCATAAAAGTTGAGAAGAATCCAGAGACTATCAGGAAAATATTTTCACTTATTAGTATATGAATATATGAAGTAATTAATCGAGAAAAAATGGAAGAAGAATCTGGAACATGTAAAAGTACAGACAATCACTGTACCCACGTTAAGTTTTTTAAAATTGAAACCACAAATTAGTAAACACCCTCATTTAATGCTAACGGCGCACCTACGTATATAATATTCTCGAAAAGGCCACCAACCCCACCACATTAACTATTCTCGACCCACCCACCTCAATTTTTTCTAGGAAGCACGCACCAAATTAATTAATTATTTTAAAACCCACCCACCACATTAAAAAATAAAAACCCACCCACCACCCACCACACTTAAAACCCCACCCACCACCCACCACATTTATTTCTATCTAAAACAGCCATCCACAATTATTATACTCCAACCATCGACGTAATATATTTTTGAAATAAACACCACACATCGTTTTAAAATAAACATCAAGCATAGCACGGATTTGATTTTAAATTACACCATTCCTCTGCAATATTTATCATTTTCACTTCAATTATTTCCAAGCACTCGCTCAAATCAACAGTTTAATACAATTAAACTACTACTACATCTGTCCCACTTACATTGGGACGGAAGAAGGTGACACAGTTATTAAGAAAAGTGAGTTTATGTGGTTGATATTGAATTGATAAAGTAAGAATGATTAAGAACCACACAAATTTTACCAAATATGGTATGAGACCATCTTAGTGGGATTTCCTGAAAACGTAATTAAAATGGAACAATCTTAGCAGGACGGAGGGAGTACTTTGCTATTGCAAAACACACAGCGACTTGGGACATGAATAACTAAGGATGGAGAAAGGCACTCTTCAAGGAGGTATGCATACATGGAAGAATGTCCAGCGAAAGAGAAAGATCCATCTTCCTGATCTTGTGTGCACACGGTACACACATTTGTACATGTTTCAATTAATCTGTTTCATATTTATTAACTCCATGTTTTAATTATCTATTAACACACACGGTTAATTATTTTTAACTGGCACCTGAACAAATCTGGACAATAGAAGCAGCTACGGTGGTTCCCCTCAGTGGCGGATCTTGCTACTAAAATTTGGATGTTCAAAAGTATTTTACTATTAAAATATTATATAAAAATTACATACATAAATTCTTAACATGTATTTTTGTATTGAATTTTCAAATTTTTGGGTGTTCATATGAACACCCCCGAACCAAACACATCCGCCACCGGTTCCCCTTGACTTAAAAAAGCTGGACCACAAAAAGGCTGAGAAAGCCATCCCATTAATTTAACTGTTTAATTCTGTGCACTATATTTACAAAAAATTGTGACTGATTTTAGGATCGGTTACAGCTCTGCATCAATGAAATGAAGAAAACAAAAATCATAGAGCCACGTGGATGACAGGAGTGACATGTGTATCCTGAACGGTACGTTGTTTACCTCATTCATCTTTAATAATTTGCCTTCATTAGTTATGAGTTTACTAAAAACCACATATGATCACTTTATCACCAATACTCTTTGCCACATATTTGGTATAACCTTACATGTACTAAATTTTAAATTGGATGTTTATTTTATCCAGCATCATTGAAGTAAATATGGATGCATATCACTACAACTTTTGCTTCTAAAAGCACAGGTACAATATCTAATCCTCACTCATATGTTATCATTTACCGTGTAGATCATACCAATTTCAATAAACCATTTTACACTGACAATAACCAAATAAATGTTTTTTATCAACCTTTATTGTAAACTAATCAATTCTGTAACTGCCACACACTCACAAACAACATTTTCATACACATTCAACACTGCAATAACAAACATATAAATTTTGACATAACTAAATTTGCATCTAGGTACGACACTTATAAATACCTGAATGTGGTCGCTTGCGACCGATTATCACTGACTTGATTAGCCTAGGCATTCACAATGACTCTGAAAATAAATTACTCAGTTCCAGCTCCACACACAACTTCCCAACCTAAAATCTAGGTTAAAAAAGAAAATTATATCAAATCGCACAGCGTATAATAAATAAATAGTTTAAAAAAATTTGATTTCTAACTAAAGGATGAACCGCACACAAATGGAACATAAACAGATCTATTCTGATATCATAAAAGGCATCAACATAACATTCAAAACATTAATACTATTGACCAAATGGGGGCCAAACACAAAATAGGGGTACATTAGTCACATTCAGCACGATCCACCCCTGAACATAGGCAAACCCATCCCCCAAACTAAAATTTACATCTGGTCAAAACTATTTAGCAAGCCAACCGAAATCCAAGCCGACAACAAAATCCGCGTTGAAGTAACGCTTGTTCAAACAGACCGTCCGCGCGGAATACCTGAGCGCAACATGGTCAGTTAGATCAGTGGGGGGCGTCCCTGGGGCGTTACCTGAAGCATCACCAACGGATTCAAAGGACCGCCCGAGTTCAGGATCTTTGTACATAGGGGACAGAGGTACCGACGAAGGGAGCATGGGTGTCGGGGGTGCCCTATCAATGATATAATCCAGCTCAAATTTTTGATAACACAAAATACAAAACCCCAGATGAACACAACCAACAGTACGCATATCAGTTCCATGGAACATGTAAAAGCAGTTTTGACACTGTCTTACAAAACAACCGACAGCCACACCGCCACCGTTTTCATCAACGGATTCAAAGGACCAACCGAGTTCAAGATCTTCGTACATAGGGGACTGAGGTGCCGACGAAGGGAGCCTGGGTGCCGGGGGTGCCCCATCAATGAGATAATCCAGCTCAAATTTTTTATAACACAAAAAACAAAACCCGAGATGATCACAACCAACAGTACGCATATCAGTTTCGTGGAACATGTAAAAACGGTTTTGACACTGTCTTACAAAAAAATGGCAGCCACACCGCCACCGTTTTCAACAAAGCCTGCTTGAGTTGCCATTCCATGTTTCTTCTACACCAATATGAAAACAATATAATGTAGGAAACTTTAGAAACCTCAATGTTTAGAAGCCCCAAGTGATCTAGAAAATAAGTGTAGAATATATGCTGAAATCAATAACAAATTTTTCATTTTTTGTATTAAAAATAGCCCCATCCGGAGAAGTATGTGGTAGTGTTACAGGCTTCATCACCAAAAATTATTCAGATTTAAGCCCAAATATTTTCTTGATTGTATCTCCATTCTCAAATATGACTTCTATAATGAAATGGGCTGGAGCTCTAGTGATTGAGTGTCACCCTTGACCATTTTAAGAAATATTTAACCTATGACTGAACTGTGATGGATTAAATTAAAAACATCATGAAATAAAATAACCCATAATATATAGGGCAGACTTCTAAGAAAAGCTTAAAATCACTCCAAAGATGCTCAACACACAACCAAAAAAGACAACTACCGAGAAATTAGTATCTAAAATGAAAAACTAAACCTGAATTTCATACTAATGATGAAAGATTAAAATAGACAAAGAATAGATGAAACTTTAACTCTATTATTTAGGAAGGTAGCAATGGAACTGACATTGACTATTGTCACTCACCTAAATAACTCAGTTGTAGTTCTCACAAGGTTGATGGAGGGTTAGAGCAAATGATAGTTTAAGAAAGAGATCAAGTTGAGCTTTTGTTTGATTTTTTACTTAGACTGGGATACACGTATATATACATATATTCTATCCGCAAGGCTGACCATATCAAATTTTTAAGCCTTAGAAGATTATACAAAATCTTTCCATCATTTGCAATGGAGCGAAAGATTCGTTATTTTTTTGGCTTGAGATTATGATGGAATAAAGCAAAATGGCTCACTAAACTGTTTGCGCTTCTTTGTTATGGAGCAGCTATCAGTCCATGCAATTTTGGACGGGATTTTCACTATGGATCATCCGGAAACAGTCTCTTTGTACTTAAGTACATGGGTAAGACTGCGTACATCCGATCCCCTTACCCCACCGTAGGTGGGAGCCTTTGCGGCGCTGGGGTAAATGAAAATGAAAATGAAAAAGAAGATTATACAAAATCTGTAATGAATCACAAAAACCATATTTTTGGGCAAAAAACAGTAAAAAAGTAATGATTACTTCCACTCAGCCTAGATATTATACACTAAAGCACTGTTTTCATAGTAAAAGTAACCAATGGTGTGTTTCTAACACAGCAATGTCATCATTTATCATTTCCTTGAAAATGTGGCTTATTTACCACCGCACGGTTAACTGACGAAGCAAGATTCACACGCAATGTCCATTCCCATGACACTGTTTATAACATATCTCAAATTCAAATATCTGTGAAATACTCCCTCCAGTTCTGAAAGATCTTTACACTTTCCATTTTTACCAGTACCACAATTATCTTTACACTTTCTTATTTGCCTTATTTGGCAAATAAATCTACACAAAACAGTGCCAAACAGTGCTAAAAAGTGCCAAACAGTAGCCAAACAGTGTACTCTACAGTAAAGTCAAATTTATTTCCTTAGAAACTGTGAAGTCAAAGTGTCAAGATCTTTTGGAACCGGAAGGAGTATGTTTTAATATTTCTGATCGAAAATTTCACAAAACACCAATTATTCATTGATTTTCAAATCTTAAATAATTTCAAAACATGCAGAAAAATATTCACTTTCAGTTTGATTTTACCAATGCTTTGATAAAAACTGGTAGACCTCCAAAACATTCTTTGAAATGTGATTGATTAAATTAAATGGGAAAATGGTGAAAGACAACTATGATTTCAACCATGCTTTCACCCCAAAACAAAACAAAAATATTAACTTTTACTATGATTTTACCCATACTTTCATTTTGAAAAAAAATTATTAATCTGTATTCCCATTGTAGGGCAACAAATAATTTTTTTCTAATGAAATTTCCAACACATGACTCCTCAGGTAGTTCAAAGGGAAAGACTCATTGGCTATTTTTAAATTAAAGGCCTTTTTCTGTTCAACAAATTGAACATATCCTCATGCTGGGCATAAGCTCTGGTTTGTTGTAAATTTGTGATCTGATAAACGTATTGCCGATGTGTAACTACCTGCCCTGGTCATGCCAGCCAATCACGGGGTGGGGGTGAGATATGGTGTAATCCTGATTCACATCATATTAACTCTATTACATCAAAATTTACGGATCATGAAAATTACAGCATATGAAATTTTAATATACACAACCATGTCACGGCACTTGGAAGTTCACTTAATAACATACTACCGCTTGATTACTTGTTGAAAATTGTAGGTTGACCATTGGCCATTCCATGAATTGCGGAACACAAATGTTTTTTCTCGTTCTGTAATTCAATTAAAAAATGTTGTAATAATTGGACTTAGGCTAGATTTAGGTCGTTCCCTGCTCAAGCCTTACATTTTATTGACTGGAACTGGCCAGACAAATGTTGTAAATATATGTGTAACGGATCAACAAGACTAGGATATATTAAAAGCTGAGCGGTGCATAGATAAACATACCAGGGTCAGGCTTGAGCAGGGAAAGACCTAAATCTAGCCTAAGCCCAATTATTACAACATTCTTTAATTGAATTACAGAACGATAAAAACACTTGTGTTCCACAATTCATGGAATGGCCAATGGTCCTGCAATTTTCAACAAGTAATCAAGCGTTAGTATGTTATTAAGTGAACTTCCAAGTGTTGTGACATGGTTGTGTATATTAAAAATTCATATGCTGCAATTTTCATGATCTGTAAATTTTGATGTAATAGATTTAACATGATGTGCATCAGGATTACACCATATCTCGCCCCCACCCCGTGATTGGCTGGCATGACCAAGACAGGTAGTTACACATCGGCAATACGTTTATCAGATCACAAATTTACAACAAACCAGGGCTTATGCACGGCATGAGGATATGTTCAATTTGTTGAACAGAAAAAGGCCATTAATTTAAAAATAGCCAATGAGTCTTTCGCTTTGAACTACCTGAGGAGTCCTGTGTTGGAAATTTCATTAGAAAAAAATAATTTGTTGCCCTACAATGGGAATATAGATTAATATTTTTTTAAAATGAAAGTATGGGTAAAATCATAGTAAAAGTTATTATTTTTCTATTTTGGGGTGAAAGCATGGTTGAAATCATAGTTGTCTTTCACCATTTTCCCATTTAATTTAATCAATCACATTTCAAAGAATGTTTTGGAGGTCTACCAGTTTTTATCAAAGCATTGGTAAAATCAAACTGAAAGTAAATATTTTTCTGCATGCTTTGAAATTATTTAAGATTTAAAAATCAATGAATAATTGGTGTTTTGTGAAATTTTCAATTAGAAATATTAAAACATATTTCACAAATATTTGAATATGAGATATTTTAGAAGCAATGTCATGGGAATGGGCATTGCGTGTGAATCTTGCTTTGTCACTTAACCGTGTGGTGGTAAATAAGCCACATTTTCAAAGAAAGGATAAATGATGACATTGTTGTGTTAGAAACACACCATTGGTTACTTTTACTATGAAAACAGTGTTTTAGTGTATAATATCTAGGGTGAGTGGAAGTAATCATTACTTTTTTACTATTTTTTGCTCAAAACTATGGTTTTTGTGATTCATTACCGATTTTGAATAATCTTCTTTTTCATTTTCATTACCCCAGTGCCGCAAAGGCTCCCACCTACGGTGGGGTAAGGGGGGTCAGATGTACGCAGTCTTACCCATGTACTAAAGCACAAAGAGACTGTTTCTTGATGACCCATAGTGAAAATCCCGTCTAAAATTGCATGGACTGACAGCTGCTTAATAACAAAGATGCGCAGACAGTTTAGTGAGCCATTTTGCTTTATTCCATCATAATCTCAAGCCAAAAAATAATGAATCTTTCGCTCCATTGCAAATGATGGAAAGATTTTGTATAATCTTCTAAGGCTTAAAAATTTGATATGGTCAGCCTTGCGGATAGAATATATGTATATATGTGTGTGTGTGTGTGTGTGTGTGTATCCCAGTCTAAGTAAAAAAGCAAGCAAAAGCTCAACTTCATCTCTTTCTTAAACAATCATTTGCTCTAACCCTCCATCAACCTTGTGAGAACTACAGCTGGGTTATTTAGGTGAGTGACAATAGTCAATGTTGGTTCCATTGCTGCCTTACTAAATAATAGAGTTAAAGTTTCATCTATTCTATGTCTATTTTAATCTTTCATCATTAGTATGAAATTGAGGTTTGGTTTTTCATTTTAGATACTAATTTCTCGGTAGTTGTCTTTTTTGGTTGTGTGTTGAGCATTTTTGGAGTGATTTTTAAGTTTTTCCTTGAGGTCTGCCCTATATATTATGGGGTTTGATGGAGTATATGGGTCTAGGCCCCAGGACCCACATACTCAGAACAGAAAGCACAGCCACTACGCGGTGCCCTCGACGGCCAGAAGACCCTCGTCGGCCGAAGAAGGACCAACTCAGAATATGATCCTGAAGCCAAGGAATCAGGGTGTCCTCGTCGGCCGTGCCCTCGTCGGTCGTGCCCTCGTCGGCCAAGACCCTCGTCAGCCACGGAAGTCTCACAGAACCGGATTTTACACTTATTCATTCATATAGCCCACCAGTGACTCTGTATTCGGCCCAATAACGGTCTAGTTGTAAATGGGTCTCCCAAACCCAAGGCTTGGGAGCCCAGCCCGTATTTTTCCTATAAATACTTCCTCTGGAGGTAGTTATGGGGGTTACAAAATCATTCTATTGAAGCATTACTTGCACTTCTCTCTCTAGCTCTCACTTCTCTCTAGATATATACTCTATCATTTGGTGCTTTCATTGAGAGCTAGAACAATCAAGTTAGCACCCTTCATCGCTACCAAGCACAGCTAACCACTGACCATGGGAAGAACTAAGTAGAACCGCAACCTCGTCAGCAAGGCCATCCCTGAGGATCAGGAGACCAGGGAGCACGATGAGGACGCTACGGCCGACCAGGTCGGTGGAGGAGTTGTCTTCCAGGAGGCCATCAACCTCACGACGGACCTCCGTAACCAACTCAACGGCGGAGCCCCTGATGCCCACATTGGCCTGGACAAGAAACGAGCTGAGAAGACAGACCACGCCTCGGCCCAGCCTATGGCCACGGGTTCCCCGTCTGTGGATCCACAGGTCCAGGCCGCGTTGTCGGTCATCATCGCCAGCTTGGCCCAGAACCCCACCGTCCTCAGCGCACTCTTGCCAAAGACTGGGGGGAACGTCACTCCACCTCCTCAGCCCCAACCGTTGGCCGTCAGGATAGGCAACGATGAGGGGGTGATGGCCCAGGACACGGCGTCGTCCCACTCCCACCCCGCTTCCCCTCTTCGGCCTGGGCAGATCCCAGCGCGTGGAAAAGCCTCTACCTTCAATAGACTTGGTGACACGCGCCGTCGTCCGGTTTCGGAGAGGATGGCAGAGCGGATCGGTGAGCGTCGGCCTGACTCGCCAAAGGAAAGCTTGGGGTCTGTGTCCCGGACAGCGGACCAGCCCCGCCTGGACAAGGGCAAGGGAAAATTGCACGAAGGCAACGTGCGCCACCAGATCAATGCAGCCCACGACGAGCGCATGAAGAACCAGCAGGGCGCCGCTGCGGCCGCCAGGGACCCCCGGGACGAGGTCATCGCCCAGCTGGAAAGGAGCT